GCCTATAAGCGAGCAAGAAACAAACCTGGAAATAATGAGAAAAGGCAAGAAGGAGACCTATTTCCCATGTGGGGGGTATTTGTGAGATAAGATAGGCTATTATCTCACTTTATTTCTGCAAAGTCTGAATTCAATTACTTTTTCTTAAAAAAAAAAAACTCACTGTAGACAATATTTACAAATATTTACCTCTCTCTCCTTTTTCCAGTCGGTCATTCATCCCTTAAATCTTTGTCACCTAAGCTTTTAGTGAAACATTTCTTTGAAAGGTCACTAATAATCTGCTAAATATCAAGTTTGATAGGTATGTCTCCATCCTCAAATTTTTGACCTGTCTGTAACATTTGACGTTATTGGTCACCTTCTCTTTTTGCAAATTGTACAAATGGTGGTTCTATAACGTTGTACTATCTTAATATTCCTCTTACTTCTTTGAGCCTTCTTTTCTGCTGCCTTTGATTTCTTCATTTACTAACATAGTTTCTATAGGTAATTAACTATACAGTATTACAACAGAGTAAAAGTGGTTCAGTACCTCTGGCATCTTTCTGAACAAGGCAAAGACCTTAAAATGCTCTAATCAAATGCAATTAGTATATTTACTCCCCTTTCATTATTGTCTAGAGTTTTCATTTCAACCTTTGCTTAACCACTCACATATAAAGAAACCATTTTCAATAAGTAGTTAAATTAAATTTATGGATGTATTTTATCAATTTCTGTGATTATCACTGTTTCTTCTACGCCATGCTTCCCTTTTGGGTTTCCTGATATTATAGAGGCATGGACTATGGTAATATTTTAGTGAGAGTCTGTAGATGGTAAACTTGCTCCAGTCTTTATGTGCCTGAAAACATCTTTATTTTGATCTCATTCTTGAGGGATAGTTTAACTAATACACACTTGTAGGTGAGTTTATTTTTTTCTCTCAGTATTTTTTTTTTTTGAGATGTTCAGAATTTCCCATCATATTCTGGGTCCTGCCAGACACTCCAAATTATAAAGCCCAGCAGAAATCCATCAAAAGTTGAAAATGGTACATCTGGGACATCAAATATAAGCAGGATCAAACGGCATAATTAAGCTGCATGAGCAGGTAGCCCAGACTCCAATGCCACTCACCAGTGTTGCACCAAACCACTTCCCTCAGCGCACACTAATAGTTATATGGGGGATACTGTATGAGCAGCTTCAGGAAAAGGAAAAGGCCTGAGCTTTTATAGGTAGTTTATGGACAGGTTAGCTTGATATGCAGGTGCCGGTCAAAAATGGGAAGCAGCTGCATTGCAACATCATTCCAGATGTCCTCGAATGACACTGGAGAGGGAAAATTTTCCCAAAGGGTGAAGTCTGAGCAGTGCACCTAGAGATCCACTTTGTGTGGAGCTCTATAAACTCTTTAAGGCTGAATGGATATAAGTCAGCTTTGAATTCTCCTTCTCCATGTTCTACTCCTATCAGTCAATACTCTTAATTCTAAGATAACATAAAACTTAGTCAAGCTACTTATGTAAAGAAAGGGGGAGAGAGTCTTATGATAAGGATACAGAAATATTTTATAGAACTCCAGGTCAGGAGCAAAACCAGGCCCCTAAAAAATTTTAAAAACAGGCTGGGATTGCATCTGGATCTTTCTCCATATTATCTCTGTTCCTCTCTGAATGTGTGATTTCCTTCATATCATTTTCTCTGTCTTCTCTATACACTGACTTATTCTGCTTATCTGGTAGAAATGGTATGCAGAAAATGGTCAATCTATATCCCTCAAGATTTATATATATATAATTCATATATATATATGAATATATGTACCTGAAATACTGAATTTTTGAAATCTGATGTAAATATAAATTCTCACGTTAAAAATTCTACCAGGCCCAGCTTGAATCAGGTGCCTATTTTTGGTCCAATCAACTCGATAGAGTACAGTCATCTTATTCAAAATGTTTGCTGAGGGCTCAGCCTTGACTCTGAAAGAGAACTGGGTCACTGTGAGCTGAACAAATAGATATATTCTATCATCCTCATTCATTCTCCTAGTTATTCAGGTTGAAATCTCTTAAATCAGCTTAGGCTTATGCTTCTTTTGTATTTACTATATAGTTCTGTCACCAAGAACTAATCCATTGTTCTTTCAAAATTATTCTTTTATCTTTCTTTCTCCATTCTCAATGACTTTATTACTTGCCAAAATAATAGTCCAAAAAAGGGATTTTTTTTATTGACATGGTAATTGTATGGGGTACAACGTGGTATTTCAATACATGCATACATTGCATAATGACCAAATCATGGCAATTAACATATTTATCTAAAATATTCATTTCTTTGTTGTGAGAATATCCAAACTCCTCTCCTCTAGCCATACACAATATTGTTAGCTACAGTCACCCTACTGTGCAAAAGAGTACCAGAACTTATTTCTCCTAACTGTAATGTTCTACCTGTTGACCACCCTCTCCCCATCTCCTCTTCTCTCCATCTCCCCCTCTTCCCAGTCTCTGGTAACCTCTATTCTACTCTCAACTTCTATGAGGTCAATTTTTTAGATTATGCATAGGAATGAAACCATGCAATATTTGTCTTTCTGTGCCTGGCTTAATATCACTTAATATAATGTTTAAAAAGTGATATTTCACTGTAGTTAAATTTGCATTTCTTTACTAGTGAAGACAAACTTTTTTTTTCATGTTATAGGCTATTAGCATTTCTTCTTCTATTGGTCCGTATCATGGGCTGAATTGTGTACCCGAACCCATCCCCATTCATATGTTTAAGTTCTAACCCCAAGTTGATTATATTTGGAAATAGGTCCTTTAAAGAGGTAATTAAGGTAAAAAAAAAAAAAAAAAAAAAAGTCAAAAGGGTTTTAAGGCAATAGGACTGGTATCCTAGTAAGAAGATGAAGAGACACCATGGGTGGTATACACAGAGGCAAGGCCATATGCAGACACAGCAAGAAAGCAGCTATCTGCAAGCCAAGGAGAGAGGCCATAGGAGAAATGATATCTGCTGACACCTTCATCTTGGACTTCTAGCCTCCAGAACTGTGAGAAAATAAATTAGTGTTGTTTAAGCTTTGAAGTCTATGGTATTATGTTACCGCAGCCCTAGGATAATAACACTGTTTGCCTGTGTTCATTATCCATTTTTCTTTTGAAATGTTTGTTTCTTCTGGTAACAGCTCTCTAAACGCTAAGCCTCTTAGCCTTTTATACATAATAAATGTTACAATTGTTTTACCCAATTTATTTGCTCCCTCCTTCACCTTTTATGGTTTTGTTTTGCTTTACATAGTCTTTTTTTAATGTAGTCAGACTTTTCACATTTTTCCTATATTATTGCTGCATTTGAAATTATGATTAAGAAAGGCCCTCCCATACCCACAATTATATTTATATTTTATTCATATTTATCTATATTTTCTTCTAATTCTTTTTTTTTCTTTTTGGTCTCATTTCCATGTTGTTTTCAGTTTATGGTATAAAATACAGCTCAATTTTTTCAAAATAGCTAACCAATTGTCCCTGTACCACTTATTCAAACATTTTTCTCATTGATTTGAAATATCTTATCATATCCTAAATACTTACATACATTTAAAACTCCTGTTGTTTTTTGCTTAAACAGTTATTTATTCAATAATTCACTTTGGAGGCTATATACTTCCACATTTATCACTAGGGAAAAAGAATTTTCCACCAAGTTTAAGAAATATTATTTTGTGTGTCTTATGTTGTAAAAATTATGGGAAAAATTAAGTTAGTTTTAAAATTAAAATAGTACATAATTGTTTTCAGTTAACAACAGACATCAAAACAAATATATACCAACTTATGCTAACCCATTGATAAGCCAAATAATTTAGCCGAATTATCACACTAATTAAAAAGAAATGAAAAAAACGATAGAAAAGAAACTACACGAGGATTTTCATTTGGCTTTTTCAGTCTCCATTCTATAGAATAGTTCTTGTCCTTTTTTTTTTTTAGTTATTCAAAATTCCCTTTTCTCCCTCAATGCTCTTGATAAAATTCTCGTAGTAATGGGAGATGAGCCAAGAGGGCTATTTTTACAAAGATCACTACTTAGTGGTAAGAACAGGGGGCCTGGAAGAGGGGAAGTTGAGGGTTCTGCTATACAGGTTCTCTCAAGAAAAGGGTATAGACGAGATTTAAGTTGTAAAGGCCCTGCAGCACCCATGTTGAATGTGCTTTGATAGCGTCTGAGTCTCTCCTGTCCATGTTCATGGATACAACCATTGCAGGAATTTTGGAGAATATTCGGGAGACTTGAAAATCATTGCAAAGCTTTAGCTATTATTACAAATTATCATTTTCTCTCTACTTTCCATATGCCACACACTCTACATACCATGGGCACTTTATAACCACATAGCAGATGTGAAAATTATGATCAGCACTGCTACAGAGAAGATGAAATTGAGATTCAAGGAATCATAAATTGCCCAAGATCACACTGGCAAAAACTAGTTCATCCCACCAGAAACCTCTCGCGAAACAAAACAAAAAACGAAAAACGTAGCTGGGCTAAACCTTAACGCTCTGGGGGCCTCGAAACTCCGTGGCCCTAGCTGGCACGGTAATGTCAGAGAAAACGAGGCTGAGGACAATCACAGACCCGGGCCAGTGAAATACAAAAGCGATCCCTCTCAGCCCCTTCTCTCTCTTGACCTTCTTGCTCTGAGATACGGGAGGCGCGGGGAGGACGCCGAGGCGGTGTGTGTGGAAAGGCGAAACCCAGAGAGAGGCCACAAAGAATGCCCGCTAAGAGTTTTGAAAGTGATAAGATAAACCTGTTAAAAACTGTAACTACGCGCTCATCCAACACCTGGTGAGAGAGATTTGGCAAAATCCTGTACGAGGCACAGCTCGCGACTTTGAGAAACTCCACGGCCTCCAGGTCCGTCCCAGCGTTCCTTGGAGTCTATTGGCCCTGGAGTCTATTGGCCCGTTCGGCTACCGTAGGCCTGGAGTTGCTACGGAAACCCTGCGGCCATAGCCATGTCGGTGCAGCAAGTCCCTCCTTCGCGGGTTTTCGTGGAACTGGTTCCCTGGGCTGACCGGTGCCGGGAGAACAATCTGGCCTCCGGCGGACAGACTCTGCCCGCCGTCCGCCGTCCCCTCTCTTCAGCACCGGCCCAAACTGCGACTCGCGAGGTGCACGTAAGTGGCACCGCTGAGGTGTCTGCGGGCCCTGACCGGGCGCAGGTAGCAGTTCGAGTGAGCAGCACCAAGGTGACGGCAGCGGAGGCCAAGAAGAGTGTTTGCCGCCGCCTAGACTACATCACGCAGAGCCTCCAGCAGCAGGGTCTGCAGGTGAGATCTCCGCGGAGGAGGAACTTCGAGTCGAACTGCACCAAGGGCTCGGCGGGGGGTCGGCCCGAACTAGCCCCTGGGGCTGCGGTGGAGGTATGGAGAGTATGGAGCATTTAGGCGCCTTTGTCGCATTGGTATTCTAGGGCGCCAGGACCTGATTCTTTGACCCATCTTGTCGTAGGTGAAAGCAGTGAACCTGAAATGTAAAAGAATGAAAAGTGGGTTGGTTTTTGTCTTTGCTGGAATGATTTTGATTGTAAACTTGAAATGATGAAATTTTAAACTTGAAATGGTACCTGTAACTACTTGTCTAAGCAGAGTTCTGTACGCTAAGCATTTTTTTTTTTTTTTGCCTTTTTTTATTCTGCACCATGGAATTGAAAAGTGAGGAGCACAACCTACTTCCTCCCAACAATGCAAAGCTTTGCATGGAGTGGTTCTTAAGGATTTTTCACAAATACTGTCGTTGGGGGAAAGGAAAGAGGTTGAATCCATTTTCCTTTCATAGAGATTTCCAAAAATTTCTCCAACTTTTTTACCTTTAACTTTTAAAATTAAGCCAGAATATTGTAGATGCCACATATATGAAATATCTTGACGTACTTACCGGAGATGTCCATGAACCAGATCACTAAATAAATCCTACCTTAAGCCAACTTCTAAGAAAAGAAGGGAAAAAATGAACCAGCCTTATTTAATCTTCACAGCAGCCTACTTAGGCATGTTTTAATATCCCCATTTTGCAGGTTTAAAGAAGTCAAATAATGCTCTGAATTTTAATCAGGACACTATTTGAACCCATGTGTTCTTGAAGTCTACATTGCTTCCAACTATGTCAGACTCCAGATACTTAGAATAAAAGAAAATTAGAAACCAAAGAGGTCAACTATCTCAATTTCCTCATTTCACAGAGGACCCTAAAGGCCAGAATTGGCTTATCCAGGGTAAAACTGCGTTGGTAAAATGAATTCTTTTTTAGATTTTTCTTTTTAAAATTTATCTCAATTGACACAGTAATTATATATACTTATGGGGTACAATCTAATGTTTTGATATATGTATCTTGTATAATGATGGGTCAGGGTGTTAATGTATCCATCACCTTAGGCATTTATCATTTCTTTGTGTTGAAACATTCAAAGGTCTCTCCTCTAGCTATTATATAATATACAAAACTTATCTGTTAACCGTACTCACCCTACTGTGCAGTACAGAACTTACTCCTCCTAATTGTAATTTTGTACACTTTGGCTAACCTCTCCCTGTTTTCCCTTTCCCCCTCCCCTCTCCAGTCTCTGGTAACCACTGTTCTACTCACAATCTCTATAATATCAATTTTTTTTTTTTTTTTTTTTTTTTTAGATTCCACATATGAGTGAGATTATATGGTGTTTGTCTTTCTGTGCCTGGTTTACTTCACTTAACATAATGATCTCCAAGTCCATCCATGTTGATGCAGACAGTGGCTTTCATTCTTTTTTATGGCTAAATAGTATTCCATTGTTTGTATATACCACATTTTTTTAATCCATTCATCTGTTGTTGGGTACTTAGGTTGATTCCATATCTTGGCTTTTGTAAATTGTGCTGCAGTAATAAACATGGGAGTATAGATATCTCTTCAACATACTGTCTCCATTTCCTTTGGGTATATACCCAGTAGTGGGATTGCTAGATCATATGGTAGTTCTATTTTTAATTTTTGGAGGAACCTCCATATTGTTTTCCATAATGGCTATACTAGTTTGCACTCCCACCAACAGTGTATGAGTGTTTCCTTTTCTCCACATTCTCACTAACACTTGTTTTCTTTTGTCTGTTTGATGATAGCCATTCTAACCGAAATGAGTGTATCTCATTGTTTTGGTTTGAATTTCCCTGATGATTAATGATGTTGAATTTTTTTTCAGATGCCTGTTGGCCATTTATATATCTTCTTTTGAGATATGTCTATTAAGATGCTTTGCCCATTTCTCAATTGGGTTGTTATTTTGCTGTTGAATTGTTTAAGTTCCTTATATATTCTTGATATTAACTCCTTGTCAGATGTATAGTTTGCAAATATTTTTTCCCATTTTGTAGGTTGTCTCCTAACTCTGTTAACAGTTTCCTTTGTGTAAAAGCTTTTTAGTTGGATGGAATTCCACTCGTCTATTTTTGCTTTTATTGCTTGTGCTTTTAAAGTCTTATTTTAAAAATCCTTGCCCAGCCCTGTGTCGTGGATCAATTTCCCCTGTGTTTTCACCTAGTAGTTTCATAGTTTTGGGTTTTACATTTACATCTTTAATCCATTTCAAGTTGATTTTTGTATATGTTGAGAGGTAGGGAACTAGTCTTATTTTTCTGCATGTGGATATCCAGTTTTCTCAGGATCATTTACTGAAGAGACTGTCTTTTCCCCAATATGTATTCAAAGATCAGTTGGCTATAGGTATGTGAATTTATTTCTGGGCTCCCTATTCTGTTCCACTGGTCTTTGTGTCTGTTTTTATACCAGTACCATACAGTTTTGGTTATTATAGCTTTGTAGTATAATTTGAAGTCAGGTAGTATGATGCATCCAGCTTTGTTCATTTTTTTCAGGATTGCTATGGCTATTCAGGGTCTTTTTTGGGTCCATAAGAATTTTAGGATTTTTTTTTTCTATTTCAGTGAAGAAGTTCATTGGTATTTTTATAGAGATTGAATTAAATCTGTACATGGCTTTGGGTAGTATAGCCATTTTAATAATATTCATACCAATCTATGAACATGGGATATCTTTCCATTTATTTATGTCCTCTTTAATTTCTTTCTTAAAAGTTTTGTAGTTTGTATTGTAGAGGTCTTTCATCTTCTCCGTTAAGTTTATTTCTAGGTATCTTATTTTTTTTGAAGTTATTGTAAAAAGAATTGTTTTCTTGATTTTCAGATAGTTTGCTATTACTATATAGAAATGCTACTGACTTTTGCTTGCTGATTTTGTATCCTGCAACTTTACTGAATTTGTTTATTATTTCTAAGAGTTTTTTGGTATAGTTTTTAGGGTTTTCTATGTATAAGATCATGGCATCGACAAACAAGGACAGTTTTATTTCCTCCTTTCTAATTTGGATGCCTTTTATTTCTTTCTCTTGTCTAATTGCTCTGACTAGGGCTTCCAGTACTATGTTGAATAGAAGTGATAAAAGTGGGCACTCTTTTATTGTTCCTGATCTAAGAGGAAAAGCTTTTAGCTTTTCCCCATTCAGTATATTATCATCTGTGGGTTTGTCATCTGTGGCCTTTATTGTATTGAGTTACATATTGTTAAGGCTTTTTATCATAAAGGAATGAATTTTGTCCAATGCTTTTTCTGCATCAATTGAAATGATCATATATTTTTTCTCTTTCTTTCTGTTAATGTGGTGTATCACATTTATTGATTTACATATGTTAAACCATCTTTGCATCCCTGGGATAAATCCCACTTGATCATAGCGAATGATCTTTTTAATGAGCTGTTGAATTTGATTTACTAGTATCTTGTTGAGAATTTTAGCATTAAAAATGCATTCTTGCTTCCAGTTTATTGCTAGAAATGCCATATCACCAAAAGCAAGTCTTTATTTTAATGAGAAAATATACTTGTATTGCATTTACAAACATGAGTTACTAAAAATTTATTTATAAAAAATTCTTTGAATGATTTTACAATTTAGAAGAATTCAAATGCTAATGATAAATAATGTGAATAAAGTGAGTTTAATGTGTAGAAAAATATTTCTTAAAACAACTGCTGCCAGTGCTACAGTCCTGTTTGAATAGTATAACTAGTTCTTATCTTATTTACATAAAATGTAAACTAAGCTCACATGGCTCTAACTTGTAATATGTAAAACAAAATAAAAAAGTCCAACTTACAGTAATTACATTAATATTCAGTGTTCAAGGCAAGACATAGGAAGGATAGTAATCTCCCAATTATTTCTGCTAATAGAGGAAAACAGTCATGTAGATAATTTGTTCAGTTGATAATAAAAATATCATTTATATTACTTTTGAGGATGAATTATGGGTCTTCACAAAGTCCCTCTTCATTTTTCAACTTTGAGATCTTGGGTTGTAAGGTTTACAAACACTGTTCTCTTGCTTAAAGGGCTCCTTATAATCCAAACTCCTTTGCTTAATTGATGGAGCCTAACTCTATTCTCATTTTGTGTCATCTCTCTTCCCTCTTTGACAAGCTGACTTCTGGGTTTTTGGGGGGTGGGGGGTTTGTTTTTTTCTTTAAGAACCAGCCCAAGCTCACCTACTTGGTGTTCCCTTTGTAACATAACACTATTCCCTGCCATACAACACTCCATTCCCTGCTTGTAATAAAACTTATCACCTTGGTTTATAATTCTTAATTTACTTGTTTCTCCTCCATATTCTAAACCTCTCCAGAGCAGAGACCATTTGTCTTTTTTTTGCATTTATGGGTTATGTTCTATACATATCACATAGAGTATACTGTTTTTTTTTGAATGAAGAATGAATGAAATACTAAATGAATATTAGTTCAGCTATATTATAGATAACAGACGTATGAACTTATGTGAAGGTATAACCCTCATTTTTAGTGTTGTTTTCATGGAAAAAATGTTTTAAAGTTCTAAACAGTATTTCCTTATTCAACTAACAAACATTTATTAAGCATTCTCTATCACTGTTCATTTTTAAATGTCATTTAACAATGTAATATTGTCTTAGTTGGTTCAGTTTGCTATAAAGAAATACAATAGACTGGGTGACTTATAAACAACAGAAATTTATTTCTCACAGTTCTGGAGACTGGGAAGTCCAAGGTCAAGGCACCAGCAGATTTGGTGTCTGGTTGGGGACCATTTCCTGGTTCATAGAAGGCACCTTCTCACTGTGCCTTCACATGGTGGAAGGAGCAAGGCAATTCTTTGGGACCTCTTTTATAAGGGCACTGATGGAGTTTGGGTGTATTGTCCTCCCAGAACTCATATGGAAATCTAATCCCCAATGTGGCA